AATGTCATCAAAGTACGTTTGTGCATAGCCTCGATGAGGTCTGAATAGTTGCGTTACCAACCGGTTAAATGTAGCCGGTGCGTTAGATATCCCTTGTGGCATAACGAGCCACTCCCAGAGCATACCGCTCGGAGTACTCACCGCTGTTAGCGGAATATCACTTGCTCGCATGAGCAGTTGGTAATAACCATCGACTAAGTCGAGTGCACTGTACAATGTACATCCTGCCATATTGTTCTGAAGCACATCCTTTCTAGGAATAGGCGTCTGCGCCGGTATAGTGGCTGCATTAAGCTTATCATAAGCATGCACGATACGCCACTTGCCATTTGGCTTTTTGACACAAAATGTCGGTGTTGAATGAGGAGATTTACTCTCACGAACCATTCCAGCCGCGTGCTTAGCACGAAAGAATTCGTCAATGACGTCACACTGTTTTTTAGGCAAAGGCCACTGCCGTGTTACACAGTATTTAGTTCCAGGAACCAAGTCAATCTCATGACGTACACCTCTATCGGGAGGTAAGGCAGAAGGTGGGTTGTGACACACCACATCTTGAAATTCCTTAACTAACGGATAGAACGGATCCAAAGGATCTTTAAGGATCGAAGATCCACTTCGTGCACTATGCCGCCTTTGTATCCTCTAGGACAGACTCATCCATTAACGAGGAAGAATTCAACTCAGTATCAGGTCTAATGACCGCTAACTCGGATAACTCTCCTGCCTTTAAAGCCTGGCTAAACTCGCCATCAGACATTTTGTCTAGCTCACAAAGAGCGTCCACGGATGGAAGGGTTTCAAGGCAAACACTGCCATCAACCCGACCAGTCACTCCATTAACAAGTGTATATAGTGTATTACTATTATCACTATGTGACTGTGAGGACGCCTGACGCTTAAAAGTAGCTACCCGGCGCCTCGATCGTCTCTTCGAGACCTTACACCCCTCAGGGGTCGGGACAATATTGTCCCCATGGTTACTACCAACCATAGTACGCTCTATACGAGAGCTTTTGTCTTGACCGACATTAGGTGTGGTGCCCTCACGGCCGTCCACACTATACGGCGTATCGCCAACAGTGTCATTACTGACATTAGGTGTGGTGCCCTCACGGCCGCCCACACTATACGGCGTATCGCCAACAGTATCATTACTGACATTAGGTGTGGTGCCCTCACGGCCGCCCACACTATACGGCGTATTGCCAAAAACACCATTACCGGCGTTAAACGTGGTGCCCTCACGGCCGTCCACACTATACGGCGTATCGCCAACAATATCATTATTGACATTAGGTGTGGTGCCCTCACGGCCGCCCACACTATATGGTGAATCGCCAACAACGCCATTACCGACATTCAGTGCGGTGCTCTCACGGCCGACCGCACTCGGTGTAGATTCACGTGCCACCATACACACATCAAAGGAATCACATCCTTGATCACTCGGCCCTAGGCCAACCATGCTTTCAGCATGCAGTGACTCGTTATCACAACGAGTACCACTCAACGGAGTACGTGCCGTTTCACTAGTGTTAGACGAGCTAGGCTCGAAACTTATGTTTGTAACATTGGAGTTAGATAACTCAGACATTCCAATATCCAGCACATTGACATCTTCTGTCAAAGGCTCGCGCCAATAGCGTTTTTATTGCCTAGCGAAGGTGGGTTCATGACTCTCCAAAGCTTCGCTAGGAACATTGCGCGTAGCGCCTAAGGTCTTGGACCTCCAATCAATCCATGGCTCATGGCGCTCAAGCCAAGCCATACCTAGGATGAGATCATATCTCGAGTCCAAATCTAGGACAAGACAGCGCTCAATACTGTCAAAGTCTAAATACTTTATACCTAAGTTCAATGGAACTTTAGGCACCGTTACGCGACTTCCAGTCGCTAAATGAACCGTGATAGAATCACCCTCATGCGCTGTAAGCGCCTCAGCATAACGCTGACTTCCCTCAAGGGAACGCCGTCGAGCATAATTGCAAGACGCTCTGAAATCGATCAATATCGACCAAGGCTTCTCAAAGCCCTTAATTTTCGCCTCGGCGACCAACAAGCCAGACTTGTATCCACGCACCATACCCGTAGGTATGGTACTCTTTGGGGCTAAGCCCTGCATTCCTTTACCTTCTAAAGGTGTAACAGAACATAGTTCTTCCCCAGTAGGGCGCCCCGCGCCTACTGAGTGTCGGCATTTCCCCGTGCCATGCCAGACTTCTGACTCGGGGTCGAGTGTTGGCTCGTAGCCTGGCGTTGCTTACGCAAAGGGCAACCAGGCCGCAAGTGTTTAGTGCTTCCGCACGTAAAGCATCGTCGTACGACGTGTTGCTGCTCAGCAGCTTGAAGCTCAGCTTCACCTCCATCTTCAGCATAGCTGAGATCCATCGGTTCCGGCCTATTATAGGCAGTGGTACCCGAATAGTTTGCTCTCACAGAGCGAGGATTGTATCCATTCCAACCAAGTCTGGCTGACTTGAAGTTATGCTCAGCATTAAGAGCAATTCTCACAGCCTCTTCAAACGTAGAGGGGTGAGCCCGAAAAACCTCGGTTCTGGCAATGCCAGTACGTAGACCTTCCATGAAGATAGCCACATGGACTGCTTCAGGCAGAGGGTCAGACTGCATTGCAGCCATGAGCGTTCGCAGCTCTTGGACATAGTCCGATAATTCATTCTTACCCTGGCGGGTAGAAAGAAAGCGTGAACGCACGCGGTAAGCCTAGTTAGGTGGAGAAAACACCTGTACCAATTGTGACTTGAGCGACTCCCATGTAGGAAACGCTATGTCCACCGACGTGCTACACGTCAAGGCCCATTCTCTAGCTCTACCATCGAGCTTCATGATAGCCAGCGAGACATGTTGATGGTCAAGCGTGATCAGACCTGATCTCATGGCCATCTCGATCTCACGGATTCAGAGGATGAGGTTCTCACCCTCCTTACCGGAGTAGTTTTTTACTTCCACTCTAAGTGGACGAGGCTTAGCCTCTTCGTCTGGTATAGACACGTAGCGTGTGGGCATAGCCGACGCTATTTGGTCTTGGACCTGCCCTAAAAGGGTCGCTTCGTACTGCATAAAGCTTTCAACACGTGCATTAAGCACTTCAGGACCTTGTGAAACAAGGAACTCCATAAACTCTGGACCCAAAGATGCGGTCAGCTTTTCAAGCGCGACCTTTTGGGCCTCAGATAGGGAAGTGGAGTTTTCCATTCTCACAGAGGATCTGTCTTAAAGACTCAGGCGTAGATTGACTACCAAGTGCTACCAAGTGTAGCGGAGCTACACAGCCCCTTAAGTCAGAGGAAGACTTAACGCTCTACGAGCAACTTAGTTCCAAAGAACTAACGACTTTACGAGTCAACAAGCTTTACAGCTTCAGATCCCTGTTCCAGGGGGACCTAACGATTCAGTGAATCGACAGCACTCAGTGCTCAATAGTAGCTACCTCAAGGAGGTGTCGCTAGCTCTTAGTGATCAGTGGTCAACGATCAAGACGGCTCGCAAGCCACGTGTCCTTCAGATCAAAATGGGAACTGATTTTATTTTGTTAAAGCCTATAGAATATCTTAATCCTACTCAAAGATCTTTCGTACCTAATGGCTGACACTCGTCAGCCACTACAAACCAATAAGATATTCTATATCACCTTCACAAAGGGGTAACCTCAGGTGTGTAACACCCCTGGCACAACGTACCATAATTTCGTGCAACCCCGTTACACGGTGCCTCGGAACTTCACGGACACTGGTGGTACGTGCAGAGGAAGACGGTAAGAAGAAGCGAGTACTTAGTTTAAGTAAATAGTAGAATTGTATTTATCATAGTTAATGTCTGCAATAAATCACTATTTATCTTCATCTAACTATGTCTAAATACAAATGTGTAAATCAGTTATCTGCTCACCACTCATTGCGTGCGTCTGTCGTGGCGCGTCTTCGTTGGTTGATATAATGGCCTATATCAACCAATTAGGAACTACTCGTAAGTGCTACAGAATATTTGTCCTTATGACAATATTCTGAGAATATAACTCTTATAGTTATATTCTATTAACAATTTCTTATAAATTGTTATGTAACGATTCACCCCGTTACATCACCACCCCTTAACCATTATTCACTTTAGTGACTGATTGACTGAATGGATACTCGTCCCAAATCATTTGGGACAGGGTTTGAACTTGTTGGTCCGAATCCACTTCCCAATAGTTCATCGCATGGTTAGCAAAATTATTCGGGGCGCGAGCAGGCCGCCGAGAGCGCGTCTGCCCGTCTCTGTGCGGACGCCAAAGCAGAAACCGCAGCAACTGATGTGTCATCGGTTGCTGAAGCGACTCAGCTTGTTTCACTTGGTGATGCAGGCGCTGGTCATGAAGACACTCATGTCTTCACAGAGTATGAGCTTGGTGTCTCATGCTCTCCCGATACGGAAGATGGATCTGTATCGACGGCGATCGAAACCAAGCCGCCTGCCAAGCGTGGCATGGATGATGCTACGCGTCTTAGCATCTTTGGTTCATCTGACGAATCAGATGAACCATCGCCGAAGCGAAGGCGCTCGAGGTCGCGAGACTCGGGCGCTCACAGTGGTGTCGGTTCTCCTATTGACACCACTTCGCAACGAGGTGCCAGTACTTCTGTCGGCACGTCGCAAGAAGAGCGGGACCGCAGTGTGTTGCGTCTCGCTCCTGAGAAGAAGGCATGGATGCCTCCCAAATCCGTCATGGATCACTTGTCGGCGACGACGAGTGATCGTTATCGAACACGATGGTTCGATTCATCAAGGATCCATCACCTTGACCCCAGCGCGAAAAACTATCGCGCTGAGAATGAATTCTTCATCGATGATTTCTTTAAACATCGATGGTACAGTGGGAATCACAAGCGTGATGGTCCCTCACTGCTTCAAGCGTGGAACGCTTACATCCATAACCTTGAGGATGTAGGTCGTGACGTTGGAACGACAAACTTATCAAAGCTCGTGATAAGTTTGAAATGCGAACCCCTACAGGTGCACGCTACAAGCTGCATCGTCTGTCTAGAGAGAAAGGGTTACCCTTCCTCTCCTGGGGAGACTCGTGCCCATGTTGTGTGAACAACTCTGCACGAGCACCTAAGGAGGCTTACCTCCCTGATAGCCCGTGGTGGCGCGTACGTATCTCTAGTGAGATGTACGAAGGGATTGACAACCTGAAATCCCTTTACGACCGTGCCGGGAAGACTTTCTCCGGCGGTCCTTCTGCGGCACAGGATGTGCCGTATCGTACTGCTCGACCAGACCCAGCACGTCAACCATCATTTGGGAGCGGGGCTCCCAAGTATCCCAGGACGGAGGATAGCCGCGCCACCGGACGAGATAACTCGTCCGACGTCCGTTCACGTCGCGGTGGTTCAACAGCTGCTCAACTAGATAGCGCTGGCCACCGCGAGAGTCCTCTAATGGAGGTGGAGGAGGAGGGAAGACGCTCTCCACACAATTGTGGGGAAGCGTGTGTTCCCGAGAGCTTCTTTGATCGCGTAACGCAAGGGTTACGCGGCGGTCTCGAACATGAGCGGGACAGGCGTCTCCAACTGGCGGACACTGTCTTGAAGCACTGAGCTGAGTTTTCCTTTGCTCATCTTGAGAACGGGAGAGCTTTGACATCTCTGCGTGACGAGCTAGGGGTAGCTCGTGGGGATGTTGACCGGTCTCGGGCTGAGATAACTGCTCTTCATACCCTTGTCGATGCCCACCATCGAAAGCACAAGGCTCTCTGCGAGATGCTTGAGCGCAAGGGCGTTCTTCATCGGAAGAAACAGCGTACTGATGGTACGGATTTAGCCGACCAACGTAAAACGTGGGATGCGTTCGCATCTTACGTGGCAACTCGATCGTGTATGCATCTCCTAGTCGGTGCCATACACGAAATGGGCCGATGTACTTGGGTAGCAGTTTACTACTACCCATGTTAGTCACTACATGCTTTGGTAGGTTAACCGTAGACAGCAGGACTAAGTCACCTTTATTATATAAAAGAGTGTTTGTCCTTCCATTCTTGTCAGCGTTTTGCTTTTGCTTATCCACCGCCTTGGCGATGGAGTCTTGCACAAAACGGACTACCGTTTCACGAGCCAGCATGAACTCATCTGATGACTCGTTAGCTTCAGTGCGCTGTGAGTGCACTGCAGCAACATCAATCTTTTCTTCAGTGAGGGCTTCCGCGCTCTCACTGGCATCATCTTCTTCGATATCGATGTTATCGATATCGGCATCAAGCGCAATGACCTCTTCGTCAGAGCGTGATGAGTGTGAACCAAATCGGTTTTTTCTCGCGCGAGTCCCTCCCCTTTAACCAGAGTTACACTCTAGTAGGTGGGTATACGCGGATGGCGTAAGCCATTCACGTAAAACGGTGTATGTGTCGTGGACGCATGCACCGAGTTGTTAATGGCAAACTCTACCATTGGCAAAAACTCACTCCAACTCTTAAAGGAGTGTACGTATCCTCGAAGTATCTCTTCGAGGACACGATTGGCACGTTCGGTCTGACCATCTGACTCTGGATGGTCAGATGTAGACATCTTCAAGCGAGTTCCGAGTGATTTGAACACAGAACGCCAGAAATCAGCAGCGAAGCATGGATCTCTGTCTGATACGAGTTCACGGGGCAACCCATGAAGTCGGAAGATGGTGTCGATAACGACACAAGCACAGCCACTTGCCGTGATTGACTCTGGTACAGCCACAAGGTGTACCATTTTTCTGAATCTGTCGACAAATACGAGAATACCCGTATTCCCGCGTGCGTCTTTAGGTAACCCGAAGACGAAATCCATGGAGATGGATTCCCAGCACTCAGCCGGAACCGGTAGAGGCTGTAAAGTTGCACGCAGTGAAGGACTTGACTTCACTCGTTGGCAGACTTCGCATGCGCGAACATGCTTTCGCACAAACTGATACTGGCGAGGCCAGTAAAAGTCTCGACTCAACGTGAGATACGTTTTCTCCCGGTCACGATGTCCTCCTAATGGAGCATCGTGATACTCGAACATGATCCGCAAACGCAGATCAGTATCATCTGGAATGACAACACGTGGTGTGTCACCAGTTACGGCTGTATAATACAGTAAACCGTTGCGAGTAGTGTATCGATCTGATGCAAATCGATACGCAGACGATAATCGTTTCAACGATTCTCGATATGGCTGTGAGAGATATACCAACAACTTCACAATCTAAACATCTTGGGCATACGCCTGCCGCACATCATCATATAACGTTGTAGATGGTATGGTGGACGTCATATCCGCAACAGTGGCTGTCTCACTGTTGGGTTTCACGACTGGTTTAAAGTCGGGCCGACGTGAGAGTGCATCAGCGACTACATTAAGTCGTCCTGGTTTGTACTCTACCGTAAAGTTGTATTCTGCAAAGAATGACAACCACCGCGCCATTCGTTGTGAAAGGTGCGGGCTATTTACTGCCGTGCGTAATGACGCATGGTCTGTGTAAACAATGAAGGGTCTATCTCCTAATAGATAGACTCTGAACTTCGCGAGTACAAACTTCATGGCAAGGAGTTCCTTGTCATGCACTAGATAGTTCTGCTCAGCTGGTTGCAGCTGACGCGACTGATAGCAGACGACGCCTTCAACGCCTTCTAGGTCGTACTGCATTAATGCACAGTCGATTGCGAAATCGCTGGCATCACAGACCACATGAAATGGCCTGTCCTGATCGGCAATTGCTAGGACTGGGGATTGTATCAAGCTCTGCTTGATACCATCAAAGGAGCGCTGACATTCAGCCTTCCATAACCACATCTGGTCCTTTTTCAACAAACGAGAGAGGTGTACAGTCATCTCGGCGTAATTGCGTGAATACTTGTGCAAATACGCCGCTAGCCCAAGGAATTTTCGAAGACCTTTGACATAGACTGGCACAGGCCAGTCGGTGATCGCCTTGATCTTTTCGGGATCAGGACGTACACCGTTCTTACCAACGATGCACCCAAGAAGTGATATTTCGCTTGCTGCAAATATAGACTTCTTGAGGTTGGCATACAATTGATGCTTTCGCATAATTGTAAGAACCTGTCGGACGTGGTACCTGTGAACCTCAACATCCGACTTTCCATCCATATCCCGACTATGGATGAAAACGTCATCGAAATAACTCGGCGCTAATTCTCGTACTGGTCGCAACAGATGTGATACACATCTGTTGAACGTGGCAGGGGCATTACTAAGCCCTTGTGGCATTACTAGCCATTCCCAGAGCATGCCGCTAGGCGTGCTCACTGCGGTATAGGGTATACCCCGTTCTCGCATAAGGATTTGATAGAAGCCATCCATCAAATCCATGGACGAAAAGATGGTACTCTTTGACATACCATCAATGATTACGTCCTTCCTTGGTATCGGCGTCTGAGCCGGTACCGTTGCAGCATTCAACTTGTTACATACATGCACAATCCGCCACCCTCCTGTTGCTTTTCGCACACAGAAGGTCGGAGAGCTATGTGGGGAAGTTGATTCCCTCACATGGCCCGCAGCTAAACGATCGGCAAAGAACTTGTCGATCGCAAGTACTTGTTCACGAGGCAGTGGCCACTGCTTCATGACACAGTACTTCGAGCCTGGTTTAAGCTCGACCTCGTGTCGAATACCTTTATCCTTCGGTAACTCGCACGGAACATTTTCAGGGAATACATCCTTGAATTCAACCAAATCTTCATAGAGAGGATTTGTCTTGAGCGATTCCTACGATTGGGAGTCATATCGCTCAACTCGTGTCTTTTCATCTAGGACACTCTCGTCCATAGATGAACTACTGAGAACTCTCTCGTTCTCAGTAAACACTGTTGCTGACCTTATGTCGGCTACACACTCGTCGTCAGCGACGAGTACGCAGATCTGCTTGACTTTGCCACTACGCAGATCACGCAAGAACCTTTCATGTTCGAGCGTTGGCAACTGAGTGATCTCCGAAGTCAACTTCGGAGGCGCAATCAGATCAAGTGTATAAGCGCCTGCTCTTGATCCGTTATTGACTAGGACATTCAATGTCTCTGTCATTTCCTGGGGACTTATTCCCTCAGGCCTCGAAGGACTTATTCCTTCGGCTTCCCGGGGACTTATTCCCGCGGGTTTCGGGGAACTTATTTCCGCCGTATTTGTAATATTGGGACTTATTCCCTTTACTTCCTCTAGCTGGGGTTGCGCAACCACAGCGAGATCCTCTACGAAAGACTCTCCAGTCGATCTAGGATTATCGTTTCGCTTAACCTGAGCGATCGATTGTTTCTCTTCTAGATGTTCCATGCTAGGGATACATCTTTTTCCCGGTCCACTCGACTTATTCGAGTGGTGGACCTTCGGCGCAGCCTGTGTTTCCTCACAGCCGCCGGAACTTTGCTCCGAAGTGTAACCGTTTGTTACACTAAGGTTTTGTGCAGTCGTACTAACGACCGTACCACAAGTGAGGCCATCGCACTCACTCGTAGTACATCCATACGCTTGTGGACGCTTTAAAAAGTTCATCATATGGCCATCCGATGAACAAGCGGCAGGCATCGTTACTGTTCGATGTTTCCAGTTTACCCGTGGTTCGTACCTTCTGAGCCACGGTATTCCAAGGATGACATCAAATTTGTCATCCAAATCCAATACGATAAAGTCATCGTCATATGAAGTATCTTCTAGCGTATAGTGGATCTTTACTACACGCTTCATGACGGTTACGGATGCGCCTGTCGCAAGACGTACTGTCATCCTCGTAGGAGGTGTGTCACATTCACTGAACGTAAAATGACCATCTTTTAGCGATTGGCGTCGCACAAAATTGTTGGACGCCCCACAATCGACTAGAGCTTGAAGGGACAACTTATTCGTCGCTTCGAGTTTCAAGGTAATGAGTGAGATCTCATTACCTGGAGAAGCAACGCACAACGTTTGTGTGTTGGGAGCAACCTTCATCAAGAGGCCTACAAATTCTCTTGACGTTGCTGGACCAGTAGGGTGCCCCGCACGACTGATCCTGTCCGTGTTTTGACGGTCCATCCCGTTGTTGCGTCTTTGCACCAACAGCGGACCCGCGTCCCTGCCCCTTTCTCATGGGTGGACGGTCATTACGCCCAGTGTTGCGAGACACTGGACGAGGGGCACTACACTCGTAAGCGTAGTGTCCTGTCTTTTGAAATCTGTTGCATTTCTGCAACTTCTTGTAGTCTGTAGAGCGAGCCTTCTCGCTCTCTACATAACAGAGTTCCATCGGCTCTGGACTTCCGCTGTCATATCGTCTCGGTTGACGATATGATGTCGAGCTGGCGCGAGCCTGTCTCAGACTGAAGTCTTTCTGTTCCGCAATGGAAATGGCTTGTTCTAGTGCATCTAGTTCAAGTAGGAACAGGTGAGTCTTGACGGGACCATCCGCAAGACCTTGCATGAACACCTAAACCAACGTGTGTTCATCAACCGGGTTGGAACTTATACAACTCGTGAGATGTCGTATATGTTGTGCGTAAGCGTGCACATCACGCTTACCTTGTCTGAGCTTCAAGAGTTCAGTTAGAGCTCTGGACTCAGCTCTAGGCGGTTCAAACGTTTGTCTGAGCCGCGACTAGAAGACTTCCAACGACCCAAACGCATATGGGTCGTGCAACTTGAGCCCAAAAGCCCAAGTCTTGGCACGTCCTGCCAGATTCGATTGGGCAAATGCAACTTGCATATCCCCGTCGTCGATGCGACGCGCCCTTATGGCTTCGTCTAATTCGACGAACCATCTCAATAGGGAGTCCTCTTCGACTCCTTTATGCTTAGAGATGTCAATCTTCAAAGTCTCGGGTCGACGCGAGTGCATCGACCCACCGGCAGCAGCCTGCTGCTGTCTCAACAGTTCAAACTGTTGAGCACCCTGTTCTCTCAACAACTCTGCTTGTTGATAACCCTGTTGGTGAAGCAAGGCTACTTTCTCGCGTTCTGCGTCAAGTTCATTTTGAATGAACTTGGCGATAGTAGCATGTTGGGCATCTCTATTGAGAGCCTCTAGCATGACGCTAACAGCATATATGCCCATGGTTGAACCCATCCGTTCAACCGCATCCCATTCGACATCGCTCAAATGGGAATAGCCGTCACGCGTAGCGTGAAAGCTTTGGTCATCTTCATCATCCAACATATTTATGTTAGATGTGAACGTGGTCCTTGGACGGACTACGAAGTGCTACCAGGTGTAACGGGGCACCCTGAAGCTTGTACTGGTGACAGTACAAGCTACTTATTCTAATGACAGAATAAGGCGGTGCCTCGGAACTTCACGTACACTGGTGGTACGTGTAAGAAGTAGGAGTTAAGTAAAGTAAATGACTTGTATATTACCGCGCACCAGACGCGTTTCGGCCCCCCGCCGGGGGCCTCATCAGTGGTTTGTCAATCTACAAGTGAGAACTATCCATACGTCTAGCTGCCGTACGACCTATAATAATGCATAGAACCCTAAAGAACATTCTAGACATACCCTATCATGGGTCGAATCTCTGGAGTCGAATCCAGTGCATCATGCACTTACAACAGTACGTGCAGAGGAAGACGGTAAGAAGAATCGAGTACTTTGTTTAAGTAAAAAGTAGAACTGTATTTAGCATAGTTAATGTCTGTTAATAAATCACTATTTATCCTCATCTAACTATGTCTAAATACAAATGTGCATATCAACTATCTGCTCACCACTCATTGCGTGCGTCTGTCGTGGCGTGTCTTCGTTGGTTGATATAATGGCCTATATCAACCAATTAGGAACTACTCGTAAGTGCTACAGAATATTTGTCCTTATGACAATATTCTGAGAATATAACTCTTATAGTTATATTCTATAAACAATTTCTTATAAATTGTTATGTAACGATTCACCCCGTTACAGTTACTGCGTGTAGCAATTTTCCTCTGCACGTACGTGTACGTGAGGTAGTCGGACGCACACACCCTTGCACTGTAAGCAGTGCAAATTTATTCAGTTAGCTAAATAAGGCGTGTCCCATTGCACCATGAATGAGGACAAGCCGAAGTAAAATAAGAAACGCAAAAACGCCTCGAGTGTTGCACTACGCGCCTTTTACAGTTCTTGGGTAACGATTGGAAAGCAGCAAATTGTGAACACGCTGAATTATTCGAGCAGTACGACATGCATTTATGCTTCCGTTTTACTTTGCTGATTTCATTTTTTTGTAAATGTAACAATGCAAGCACGCACACATCACGACAAGGACCGATGCAGATATAGTTGCCATACAATGATTCTATTTATGATGTAAAATACACCCTGTTCTGGATTCAAAGGGTTGAAAAAGTAAAAAAAGGGGGGAGGAAATATCAATGTCTAATGTACCGTTCGTGACATTCTCAGATACGACTTGTAATAGCTCATCAGGCCGCACTGACATCAACTTCTCGACGAGAAATACTCTCCGAATGAATGCGTTTGCATGTCAACGTTGTGGTTGCCTCGTACAGATCCTACAAAGTGTGGAAGAGCTGTATAGAAAAGCAATGCTGATTGTAAAGGAAGTTGCCTTGTTGCGGCAAGTATTTGTCGTACGTAGCATACCGGATTTGTTTGCATGCTAAAGAGAGCGACGAGATTTAGCAATTGGCTTTCACTTTTGCGTATGACAGAGGGCAGCCAAAAGGACCAAGGAACGCGAGCTTGGTTGTACGAATGCAATGTACCCATCCATTTCCAGTGCACAAACCTAGTCTGTTTCATAGCTTTTACTCCATTCGGGGCACTGATCATTTAACAGCTTACAAACCAAGTTTACCGCTATTCATCCCGATCGACCTTCTTTTTTATGAGGTTACCAAACATTAGACGCTTCACATTTTAACAGCGATATGGTGAAACGTCGCAGAACACATTCCATGCGTTATCTAGACTGCACGCAGAAATCCCGATCCCAGCTTGAGACTTGCATCTATCGTGTTTTTATCTGACACAAAGTACGATCTCCCACGCAGAAACTTTAGGCGCGGTTGTTTGAGGTTAACTTGCTCCTTCTTGTAGCCGTCGTTAGAAAGTCGAGCTAAAATTATTACTAAATAAAGGAAGCAAATGGGTCTTTCCGATGACCAAATGAGCCTTTCCCAAGCTTTCTTGACCTTTTTTTTTGGTTGGTACTCAAAAATGACATTACGAGTCTCTCGTTGCACACATAAATCAGCTCAACTCTAGCAGCTCTCAACACACAATTTCAGCCAATAAACACCATCGCTGCATGGGACCGTAATCCCATTCGACAATGCGCGGGCGTCTAGGCAGCGGGCGCACGTCCGACAGGGACTCACACGAGGAGCGCGACAACTTGCTGGAGATGCGTCCAACAGGAAGGAGCAGCAGCCAAATGCTGCTCCCAGTCGCCGTGTCGCGACGCAAGGCGAAGGATGATTACGAGAACGTCGACGATGACAATGGTAAACAGGGCAGCGACCGACGGAGACGAAGCAACGTCGCTGATTGGCTGAAATGTCGACGGTTAAAACTCGCTGTGCTCCTTGCACGATGGAAGTGTGTGCTGCTGCTACTGTTTGTGCTACTTCTGGCACTGCTGGTGATTGGCGTGACGACGCTGGAGGCCGTGGGTCGCATGAGGTTCCGTGGCTATTTTGTTCCGCCTCGTAGTCTCAATGGACGGCTGGGCTTTTACCACGAGATGGACACAGACATGCAGAAGCTCAAGGAGTTGACTGGACGACCAGAGGGGAAGCTGTTTCCAGCGTCTGTGTCGAACCCGAGGGAGGTTCAGGCATGGGTTGGAGAGCGCAGGAAACGCACCAATGGACGCAAAATTCTCGTCGGCTGCACGTCATTCTGGAAAGGGTATGTGCTGCGGTCATTTTTGTCGCTATTTGAGGAGCTCAAGAGTGAGTACGGATGGGAGGATCTGGACACGTCGATGGACCCGATGAAGTCGATCGTCAACATGGATCGGAAAAAAGCCCCGAGCGTCATGATCTTTTGCCTCAACTCGTTCTACCAGCCGATGGCACTGCTGCAGAATTACAGCGCGTACTTTCACGAGCTGCGCGCATTGGGCACGATCCTGGTCGTGTGGAATGACGATTTGCACTACTACGACCAGTTCAATCCCATTGTACTGCGAGACAGTATTCTGACCAAGGTGGATGTGCTCGTGGGCACGTACACGTACTTGATGGACGACTACTTTGCCTCGGTCACCAACTTGGTGGATGAGCGTGATTTGCCGATTACAGTCTGGTCGCCACACTCGTCCGGTCCAGACTTTGTGAATGCCTCGTTTAACGAGTACCCTATCAACAAGATAATTCTGTCTGGTAGACTTGGCTCAAACTGGTATGCGCTACGCCACTGGATCGGCATGTACCAGCAAAACCACCAGGACATTATGGACTTGTACCCGCACTCGGGTTATCACGTCAGCGACAATCAATCTGCTATCTATGCGTCCTATTTGCGTTCGTACCGCACTGCCATCACCACGACCCTGATTTTCCAGTATGTCATTGCCAAGATTTTTGAGATTCCCTCAACAGGAGCACTACTGGCTGTAAACCGCGATACCGCACCGCTGCTTGCTGCATTGGGGATGAAGGAAGGCGAGCATTATGTGGGTTTTGATCGTCAGGACCCGGAGGCAATCATCTGGTGGGTGAGTGACCAGAGCAACTGGCCCGAGATCGACCGGATTCGTCGCGCCGGCATGGAGTACGTTCGGGAGCATCATCTCGTGACCAACCGCGTGCAGGCGCTAAACCTGTTTATGACGGAAGGCGTGATCTCGTATCCGACCCCACCAATGGTGCACCTCACGAGTCCCTGTCCATCGAAGGCACTTCCAGATGAGTACGAGTGCCGGAATCGAATTGACCACGAGGCAATGTACAAGTGCGATCGCTGGTTTTGCGGCGTGCACTCGATGCTGCAGCTGTGGGACTGAAGCAAGGAAGTAGTGCCTAGTAGATAGTGTTTTAATGAATGGATACCGACAGCGTGCATTTTGACACCCGGAAAATAAGGGACCCTATTTCGTTGTTGAGATCGTCTTGTCAAGCGTTACTTCATGGTGTGCCATGCTCGTACATCCCTACCCCAGCCGCCCGCTTCAGCCTTCAGCCAATCAGATCTTCCCCACGTCGATTTTTATTTGCATGGGATTGCGCATCGGCATCTGATTCCGCACGAGAAGACAAGGGGGAGAGGCGCATACTTTGCTAGAGAATGCCGTGCGAGTTCATCAGCGGATTAGAGGTGACGTATGGCAACGCGCTGGCGGCTGGCGGAGGCTTCCACCGTGTCACGACGGCCGAGGGCACAGCCGCCGAGGTCTCGCCCCACACTTATCTCTGGTACAAGCTCTCGTCGCCGCGTCCTCCAATGGCCGCGACTTCTGATTCGGATTCTGATTCGCATCTCGCCATCATGCAGCTACGCATGGGCACGGAGCAGGAGGGAGACAACTGGATCAAGCTGGACAAGTCGATTGACCGGACGAACGGACGTTATCTATGGTTCCAGGTGACACAATTCAAGGCCCCGACGTCGCCGTCAACCCGAACAAAGCAGCAGCTCATGCCGTTAAAGGAGATCCGCGTCGTGCGGCATCTCAAGGACTTACCGGAAGGCTTTGAAGCACTCAATGAGCCGCTCGTGAACGCTGAAGACGGACGTGGTACGTTACGTTGTCGTCGACTTTCTCTCTTTTTTGTGTGTGTATTTTTGTCGTCTACCTGTCATTTGTGTTTCTTTGTAGTAGGAGTGATGCAAGATGAGGTGTAGGGATGCTAACGATTGGGTGGTGATGTCGTGATTACGTGGTGTAGATGAGCTACGTACGTATTTGTGTTTCCGCCGATTGGCAAGTGAAGACTTTTCCGACTCCAAGTGGTCGATCCTGAACCAGAAAGTAGGCGAGTGGATCGATGTCAAGGATTTGTCTTCGAACAAGTGGAGCGTGGCGCAGATTGTGCACCAAACAGCATCAGAAATTCGTGTACACATCCCGACGTGGAGGAAAGGACGCGACGAGTTTTTACCGCGTTTAACCTGTACGAATCGCGTCGATAAGCTAGGCAAGCACACAAATGTGTACATGTCACCAGCGTACCCGTTGCCGCGCAAGCAAGGAATCTTGTGGAACGCCAATATGAAGGACTTGCACCACGCTCGGGAACAGTTTGACAAGTACTTTTACGACCGCGACAAGCAACAGTCGTATCTGCCGCGATTACTTATCCCGTTTATTGAAAAGTCACTGCTGAGTACGCTTCTGTCGAGTGATCTTGCTGACGAAATGAATGCATTCTACCAGCACATACTTAAGAATGTCGTGGCGTGTACGCTTGGCAATGATGCGGGCAGTGTTATGGTATACATGCTGTCGATCTTGCGAATGATCCTCAATGGACACAGTTCGTGTATGTTTTTCTATAGCAAGTACCCTGGAAGCTACACGGCGGCAAAATACCAACGTCTGGTGTATATGTCATACTTAGTGGGCTCAGATGCACTGACAGCACTCCCGGCTTGCCATCCGTGTCGATCGCTTCACTTTGTTGACAACGTCGACTTGTTTGTGCAAGCGGGAGGATTTCGGTTGATTCTTGACCGCCTTGAGGGGGCAGAAGTTGCCTTGACTGAAGTATTGCTCTATTGCACGATTCTCAAGTGGGCAAAACCTTGCCTTACGCAGCAAAAATGTCGCTCACCAGTTCGTCGTCGCTCGACAATAGAAGCTCAGACTGGAGATTTCGTCCGGGACTTTCTAAACGCGACATTCTCACGGTTGCGCCGTATGAGTAGTGAAGAGCTGAAAGATGACAGCGGACTCATTGACCAAATTGTCGGTGTGCTCGACTTGCTTTGCCGTGATGGGCTTTTACTTGGCGACTGCTCTGGAGCTGGGACCGATGAAACTGTTGCCGCTTCTCGTTCGGCTCTGTCGTGTGACGTGGAATTCACCGAAGCAATCGAGACCTTTCATCTGGATCTGTCAAAAAAGCTCATTTGTTGTCCATACTTATCACAGCGTCTCCTCGGTATATCGCGTACCAATGATTTAATTTTAATGGCTCAACAAAAGGATACGCTACAGAAAAAATCAAGCTCGGCTTCGGTGCGAACACCGTCATCGATAAGTCCAGCGACGTCCGTCAGCACAACTACTTTGAGTGTAACGCCATCCTTACAAGCTTTAACTTTTGGCGACCAGCCCATGACGAAATGGCTGCGCACGACATACATTGCAGAGTGGTTGGTGGCGTCTGACATTTTAGAGGTGATTTTAGGCGATCGTCAAAGCTGTGCCAAGTACTCTCTTCAAGATGGAGCTCATCTGGAAATTCTTAAGCGCTCCGAAAAGATATTTGGCTTCGTAGCGGCTCATGGCCTTTTGACGGAGCAGCACATTGTGTTGATGTGGAAGACGGCGCTCAGTCAATTGCGCTCAGGCAGAAAGACAGTCTTCGATATCTTGATATCACTTTGCAGTGTTTTGTCAGCTGATTTGATTGATGTCATCATGATGCTTCTGACTCAAGTACCTTCAAGTGACTATGACGAGCTCATTGTGAATTTTATCAAGCGCGTTATCATGATTGCTTCTAAGCTTATAGTAGACATGGAGACGGGCAGCCTTAAGATGACATTGACGTCCCTGGTTAGTGCTGCGTCTGGATCAAAACAGCTCAGTGTTTGCGCTCAAAAAGATGTTGAGGTTTTGATCAAGGTAGTGAGCTTGTGTTGCATGCTGTACTGGAATGCGCTCCTCCAAACCGAGGTACCGAACGACGAAGGGATGACTACCGGTTTCGGGCTGCGTGGTTCGATGCGAAGTGAAGTGGAGGCTGCCCTAGCTGACTCATTGAACCACGTGCAAAAGCTATGGATTTCTGCCGGAGCATCGTCATTTGCGTCGGGAAGGGAGCAGCAACAGCTGTTGAGCGACTATCTCCGCAAGTGCGCCGAGAACATTAAATCTGGCACACTGGTGGAGACATGCATGAACTTGATCTATCGCATCGTAGATGGGTATGGGGGAAGTACATCCTCGCTCGCGGCTTCAACATTGGCGCTGACAAGAACGAACACTTCTCCCACGACACCCGGCGAACTTCTCGAAGGATTGGATAGTATGCACAACATTGTGTCGGTTGTCGTCGAGGTGATCAAAGATTATGCTGCTGCGTCGCGTCCAATCGATGCAGCTCAAGCCAAAGCTCGCGTCGTAGCTTTAAAAAAGCGCTTGGCATTTCTAGGGTTCATTGTGACCAGGTCCGACCTTAAGCTGCCTTACGACGCTGTATGTCAGCTTTGGACTTGTTTTGATTGTCCCAGCAACACAGCTGAGGAGCGAGACGTATTTTTTGCGTGGCTGACGACAGTTATCCCCGATCCGAACAATTTTGTCCATCGAGCCTACTCGGGACACACGGGATTTTCCGGGGCCGTAGTATGTGAAATATTCCAGTCGCTGATTGAACCACAATCCGCCAGCACTGTTGGAAATGATACTCAAATTCGGTTGGACTTGCGAACTATGAACAGAGAGTCGTTTTGGGTGTTGGAGCGGCTTTTTCGGTTCGTTAACACAAGCGCAAGGCGAATGGTTTCCCTTGGTGTAGCTAAAAGCGCTCCATCGCGAAGCGTGTCAAACGACAAGATGGAGGCTGGTTTGTTTGTCGTGGAAGCGCTTGACTTGCAAGGTCTTGAGACGTTGTATGATGTGGCATTGTTCGCAGAGAATGATGTTGTGAGCCAGCAGGCAACCAACTATTTAATTTATCTACAGCTTCACGTCGGCTCAAAACTTGTCCGGCGCGAGGTGTGGACAGATTTCGTAACAAATTGTCTTAGCAGACTAAAGGAGACGGTAAAGAGCACCACCGTCCACGAGTCGAAGACACGCGAAATTTTTCGTCTACTAGTGCTGCTAGATACGTTTCTTTATCAATCCGTTGTACAGCCCCAAGAAAATGGAGGGCTTTCTGGACCGGAAGGGATAACAGTCTACATTCGAACACAAGGTGGTCGAGTGGCAGCACCTTTTCAGTATTACGTAAGACGGACATCCCTTGTGTCAGAGCTACGTGATCGAATCGCCAATGACACAGGCCATCCAGCTGACCGAGTTCGCATCGTAAATTCTGCAAAGACTAAACTAACAGCGCAAGGGCATGGAAAATTTACGCTTGAGAAAGCGCGTGTATTCGGTCCATCCTCTGTATCGTCACGATTATCGCCAAGGCGGTCGCAAACGCAAACAGCAACAGGTACACCTCGTAGGACGTCCAAGTACACGAGTTATGTTGAGGCAATTTTGCTGTCGAAAGTGGAAAGTGATACAAGCGGCCACACCAGTCGTAGCATCATGGACTACCATGGGGCAGTTGGGGTTGCCGCTGCTGGAAATATTAGCAGTTCCGAGAGCGATTGGCATGTGATCAGATTGGAGATTTCAGGAAATGATACTTGGGTAGCACTCATGTTTAATTTGCTGTCCTACAATAATGGAATCGCTGAAGAAGCCTGGAAGGTACTCAGGCTGCTCACACCAAATGAGGATATGGAAAAGCAAATGCGTTTATTGACCGGCATGCTAGCAATTGATGGCTCCATCCGCGGGGAATCGGGCTCGTTCAGTTGGGATACGGTGTTGGATTTAACGTGTCCTGGAAAGTTATTGTATCAACTTGAATTAGTGGAAAAGTTCGCGCTTTGTGGTGATGGGCGTCAGACAGATGAGAACAAAAACGCCGACGGTAAAGACTGCATCCACATAGACGACTATGACGTGAGTAGAGTCGATGGGGGGATTGGCGCAATCAATACATGGAGTGCATCTTTTCTGGAGCTTGGCGGTCTGGCACAACTCGAAAAGTTTGTTTTGTTGTCGAGCCCATGCCAGCTGCTCGCGCAAGGAACACTTTCGGTTATGTGCCTGTCAAAACTGTTGTTGCTGCTGCGCCATTTTGTGCTGGTAGAATCTAAGTTGGCAAAAGATGGCGGTTTAACTCTTAAGACGAATCTGCAACAATTGAATCGTCATCTTTTCGGGATGCTGATCAGCCTTCAAAGCATTCACGAAGAACCCAAAGAAGCTGATCCAGTCACCACGCTTTCTCATACAAGCGCGTCATCACAACTGCAACATTCAACGGCAGAAGACGATCGGCTCGATGTAACACAGCCTCTTTTAACTGTGTACGATCGCCCGCAGGTTGAAGACCGGGACAATATCAACAATATTCCGAATGACGCCCATTTAATGACCCGTTTACTTTCCTGTATCGCGACATGTTCGCTGATGACTACGCAAGGTGCATTGGCACTGCTGACGAGCTGTCCAGGGCACGGCGATATTATACTTCGCTGTTTGGTGGAGAGCCGCTTTCAGCCTGTTCGGCAAGAAGCTGCCAACGCGATTACTGTCTTATCGACCACTACAAACGAAAATAAAGAAGATCGCGCGGCGTGTTGCAACTATTTCTTGCGTCTACTATGTGGATATGCTGGGGCAGTACACGACGAGGAGTACTACAATGTGCTCACGCTACTCATAACAAATGCAGAAAATTTGACCGAGTTTGCGATACTCGAGTCTTGCCGAACTTTGTGCCGTCGAATTAAGACGTTTAGAATCAATGACGACGTGCGTGCTGGGCCGCCTAGTTCTACGTTTCTTTCGGCCCGAAGAAGTAGCTTGAGAATGGAAGAAAAGGAATGCAGGACATCAGCTGGACCTACGTCAAGCACTCTTGTCCCTTCTCCTTCTCCTGATGTGCTTTTAGAAGGACAATTGTCTACTATGCTTGCCATCATGAAGCGAATCCCGGTGGTACTAGCAGGTGATGTTCTTGATGCACCGTGTGACGGTCGCAGTTTACGTGGGGTAATTGCACAAACCCTTCATGCAGAGGAAGGGATTATAAACGAGCTTTTCCACGAGTGTTTGTTTTCATCATCCGACAAACAAACAAAAGTTGAGACTGAAATTGGCAGAGTTGACAAGGAAGATGCTGGTATTCAGGCGTCATCTACATCACATTACTTTCTTGAGCAGCCCAAGTGCCGTAGTGACACATGCCGCGAGGTTGCATTTGACCTATTGAGGGAGCTTTCAATCGACAACACTGATGGCCTGCGCTTTCTGTTGACGCAAATAGCAAACCAGCACACACTTGAACGCCCTTCAGGTGCCCGCACCAAAACCTCGACAGCTTCAATGCCAAAAAAGAAGAGCTCAAAGGTGTCCAAGGATCGGTCACTTCAGCGAAAAAAGTTTGTGGGTCTGAAGAACCTTGGATGTACTTGCTATCTGAACTCGACGATACAAAGCTTTTTTATGATGCCACGCTTTCGTCACCACATCTTGCGGCTCCAATCAAGCAGTACTAAATCGGACAAGGCAAGTTTGACGTATGAGCTGCAGTCGTTATTCGCTCATCTAGAGGGCAGTGCCAAACCTTACTACAACCCGCTACCGTTGATTTGCGCAATGAAGACATGGGACGGTGAAAGTGTGGATGTGAACGTCCAGCAGGATGCTAGTGAGTTCCTGACGTCTTTTTTCCAGCAGATTGAGTCAGAGATGAATGGCGTCAGTGCCGGAACGGGCGGTCAATACACAGGCGATGAGAATATTTTGAACACATTTTTTGGAGGTGAGTTCAGTAACGAGCTTATTGCTGAAGGGGACCGCTACAGCGAGCGCTGTGAGCCTTTCCACTTTATTTCTGTACCAGTTCGCGACCGCAAAAACTTGAAGGAGTCGCTGGATGGGTGGGTCGAAGGCGATAAGGTTAGTTATACTTGGGAAACAGGCAGTGACTCAAAAATTGATGGCAAATTAGAAGGTTACGGTGGACACGACGCAAAAGTAACACTCGAGACGCACAAGCGAATCTCTATTTCGAAGCTGCCTTCGTACTTGATCATCCATCTCAAACGCTTTGAGTTCGACTTTGAAAAAATGCAGCAAACTAAACTTCACGACCGTTTTGAGTTCCCCACCGAACTAGATCTATACCCGTACACAAAGGAAGGTCAGCAAGAGAAGAGGAAAGCATTGGCTTCATCTGGAGACGATGGCGCCACCGGCCACAAGATACGGCTGAGTACATGCTCAGACAGCATGAATGACAGAAGAACGACTGCTCCAGAGTACTCTCAATATGAGCTCGTCGGAACGGTTGTGCATCTTGGTACGGCTCTCTCAGGACACTACTATTCATTTTTGCGAGACCAGCAAGTGCCACGTGACAAGAGCCAGTGGTACGAGTTTAACGATACGGTGGTGACCCCGTTCGATCCATTGCAAATTCCGGACGAGTGTTTTGGTGGTGAGGAATCAACGCGTGATACAATGAACAGTAAATTCACATCGCCGGAAGAAACTTCCACGCTGCCAGCGAAGATGAAAAACCGGAGCAGTTTCATGCTGTTCTACGCTCGAGTGCCTCCTGATCTGCGTGCCATCAGCAAAAACAACGTTGCCTGCATCAGTTTCTCAAACGCTGTATTCGTGACAGTGTTTTGCGTTCGCCTAAAGAAGAGAGCATCTGTAAAGCTAGCATATTTGCGCAGTGTGGCTTGCGTCATTGCACCAGAGCCTATTCGAAAACTTATTGCGACGGAAAACCGCTTGTTTTGGCGTAAAAGGTATCTGTACGACACAAAATGCCTAAAGTTTACGTACGACCTTTTGCGATCTTGCCTCGTTGGGCTGGATAGCTCCGCGACAGCAGCGGTGGTGCCGTGCTTCGAGCCGGCAGAAGCGCAGTTCGAGGCCCTACAGGTGGCAACGAGGTTTGTATTTGGCACATTGTGGCAAGGTGGTGACGTGACCAAGGTGCTAGAATGGCGCCCTATTCTTCAGGCACTCTATCACACTGATATTGCTGGCTGTCGCTGGTTCCTATCGACCATGGAGGCGAACGAGTCGCTGCTTCTGGAGCTGCTCGTCTTTAATGAGCATTGCGAAGTTCGTGAATTGATGGCTAATGTGGTATCAGAAGCCATTGCCACCACGTCAAATATGGAGTTCGAAGAAGAGGTTGACGAAGAGCTTCGGGCGGCTCGTATCAGTGGAAAGAAGCAGCTTCCTGCGTCGTTCGAGTTTATGTTCTTCTTGATCCAGTTGATGCCTGCGTTGCTCACAGTTCCAAATCCTAACCATCGTCAGTATTTTCTCGTAATGTACGACTTCGTCCAGACGGGACGCAACGAAGGATCTTTTCTCGTCGTGAATAGCGTCGTCGGTGCGATCGTGGCACTACTTACGGGAATGGGAAGCTCACAACCACTGCTCCAACGACAACTGAAAAAGTACAAGTCAAGTCAAATTTTGAAGCGCATCGATTTCAATGTCACGATTTTAAAGCTGCTGTCCGTGCTCATTCGTTGTAGCTTACCTCCTGCAATGGATGTCGAAGTGGATGACGAGCACCCGCTTGTCCTTCCGTCCAGCATGGCTCATGACCATGTGGGTCTCTCACCGGCAGACCATAGCGTCCTTCTCAATGAACGCTTTATTACCCTGCTTACGCAGCGCGCAAATCACTATACAAAGGAGACGAAGCCGCTTGAGCAGATTGTGACTCATTTATGTTGGGAAAGTCGACGTATCACAGCTGAATTTGTGAAAACGATAATGCATGGCATTGAAGTAGAAGATCATCACGACGTCAAGCCATACTTTCGTACGTTGAACTCACTCCTGAAGATTCGAGATTCGCTTGCAGTAAAGCGTCTGACGGACAGCCTCACCGAACTCGTTGCCGTAATGACGTTGCAACAGCGGTACTTTAAGGCCACCGAAACGTCACTCGATATGCTCACGAGACTCGCGAAACGGCACAGCGGCGTAACCCAATGGCTGAGGGAAAATCGACAGAGTTGTGAGTGGATGGAGCAATGGCTGGATGCCCACCGCGGTGCTGACGGTTGGCTGCAGCAGCACAGCAGTGTTTTAGTGAAACCCAATAGCACCTCATCGTGGGTAAACGTTAGCGTAACAAGTGCTGGGCTCATTAAGACTATTGACCGCTCGACCGCGAAATTGCTTCCACGCATCCGCAGCATTTTAAATCCGGAGGCTGTTGTGGACACCTTTTACGACAGTGACGACAACCCACACCGGCTTGTCGGCAAGCGAGTCCGTGTAAAATGGGCCAAGGACAGGTGGTACGAAGGAAATGTCCAACAATTTAACGAGGACACGTATGAACACTTTGTGGTGTACGATGATGGCGACAAACGCTTGTATCGCATGTCGGAAAAGCTCTTCTATGTCGTGAACCTGGCGCCATCGCCCAAGCCTCACAAGTAGATATCCCAGCAAAAGTAAGCATGTTTGGCTACAATCCAATCCAGTCGGAGAGTTACCTTATGCTAGACAACATGAGAGGCTGGCTCTATTTCTTGAATGGTGACACTAGATGGAGGAAAGAAATGTGCAGAAATATCTGCTGGAAGTAGGTGACGCGGGTAGCATTGTAACGGCTCGTTGGTTCATTTGCATCGAGTGAGCTGGTGGGATGTACCTGATCTTCAGACAGGAGCTGGTGGGCAACGTAGCACTTGTCAGTTACTCTTACCGAAAAACACTAGCAGCACACGGCATAAATGTTGTGGTGAAGAAGAGATCACAGTAATTGCACGCAGCACGGAGGCAGAAGCAAACCATGATGTTCAACGAACTAAAGCGCGTTGTAAATAATGTTTGGCAGCACTCGGGTGCGAACAGGCATTTGTGACTTGAGGTGTGTACCACCAAGATGGCCCTGTTTCACGCAACCAAGATCTGCACAATTGACACATGTCTATCGAAAAGATGAAAGTGCTCACTAGCAGGAGGATGCACATACCGCCAACTCGAATGTAACGTATTTACTTTGTAAAGGCAACATTGTTGGTGCCCATAGCAGCATCTAGAGCGTGAAACGATCAAAAAATGTTGGCGACAGGGGACAAGTCAAGTCTTGCATCATGACGCGGGTGCGACAATAACGAGAGCCTTGACAACCTTACGATGTTGAGACTTTTTTCTGATAGTGGTAGCACGACCGGCTGGGCCCCCAGATTGACAGTGGCGACGACCTCGAGAAGCTAGGTCGAGACAGATCTCATCGATGGACACTGAGTCTATGCGATATTTTGACATACAGTCAATCTATTATTTTGATAAAATGGGCCGCGCTTTCGGCTGAACGCGTATTACTATATGGAGCGAAGTGGCCCAGACCAGAGCCTGAGATGGATAGCCAGGCGACGCCTGGTGACAATTTCGTTCGTTCCCGTAAGTCCAGTGAATACTTTGTCTTTGGCCAGACGATGATATGGGATAGTCTTATTCTGAGCGCTAGGATCTGGACTATTGCACGTGAATTTGCTCGCCACACTTACTAGACGAGCCAAGCTGGTCCGGCTACCAAGGGCCATATTTTCGCAGGGTTTCGGAACGCTAGCCCGTGCTCATTGATTATGGTGCCATCTTTTAAGCGACGTCGGCCCTATGGATTGTTGTTCCTGAGCCTAAGAAGTCTACTGTGGTGGCGCTTGCACATCTGGTTTGAAATGATCCTCGCCATCTGGCTCTCGCGCAAGACGATTCGTGCCTCTTTTCTGGAAACGTTGTATGGTTAAGATCTGCCCCGATTCATTCTTATACAGGTAGTCCAACTGAAGACATCGTAATCAATCAGCTGGATTGACGAATTGTTGTTGCGCTTCCAACACATGGCTGGATTGCCCAGCAACAATTTCTAGACGACTTGATCCCTCACCTCATAAATGCGACGCTCCAGTTAATGCTGTTGCTTCTGCTGTTGCGAGACGCATCCGCAACGAAGAGTATCTGTCCTAGAATTGGTAGCGCTCGTGCCAGGTATTGCCAAGGTCCAGATACGATGACCGGCTTGCAGTCTTCCTTTTGTAAAATATTGTTGGATTCAGTCAAGCTGCAGTCTGTGGATTGCATAGTTTGTGTCGGCTAATGGACAACGACTGCGCAAGCAGACGGTACTTTAGCTTCAACCATCAGGATGCCGTCCGCAATAAACACCCTACATCTGGCGGTTGTATTAGCACCGATGATCATCACACTCATGAGTAGGCCACAAATTAGAGAAAACACTTTTCCTGGGACGTCGTTTGGACTGATCAATGCTGCGTAAGGTAGCGAAGATTATAGACTTTTGCTTACCTATTGAGCAAAATGTCTCTTTAATGGACCGATCTAATTTACCAAGTTTGATGCATCCATGTCGCGACACGCTTCCGAGTCTATTATTTGATGACGCACCAGCTCAGTTCCAGCCAGACTCCGGTAAAGTACACAACAAATGGAATATCACACTGATTATGATGTGTATCATCTCCTCAGCAAGGCATCGTTGAGGTGGTATACGATCCTTTCGCTCAGTGTAGCAGGATTGTTTTTCCATCGCCCGAATTCTCAACCTGATCAGGAGTGCCACAACCCTTACTCATGAGCAAGCTAAACATCTGGGATCTTGTGGGGTAATGAGATCTACAATCCACTCACCGAGTTAATCTAGCCGATATTCTCAATCCCACATCCAGACCAGAGGAAGCAAACGATGCTGGTCATTGATCCGGTGAAAATAAAGCATCACAAGGCTCAGCTTTTTGGCGTCACTGAATGCATCCTTCACTAGCAAAAGTGTTCGGAAATACTGTTGATTCAGGTGTTTGCAGTCCGTGATACTCTTGCTTATATGAACCGACGAGATCTCCTTGCAATTGCTCCACAACAAAGTGATCACTTTATATGTAAAGAGCAATTACCCGACAAGGATTTGTTTGACTAACCGAGGTCAAGCGATGACGTCAATTGGTCAATCGACTGAAGCTGTCAGTTCTTCAAAGCAGCGGATAGCGAAGTCAAAACTGAAAACAGTCTTAAAAGTGAATGTGATCAATGTGTCTAGAATACAAATGCGTCGTCTGAATATAATATAACGAATTCACGTATCATGAAAGATAGGGGAGCAAGCTCTGGAGCTAACCCTTTGATATTGATAATCCAGTTCGGAGAACTAAACTAAGCTAACAAAACACTGTACAACAGCAGTCACTGAAGAAGGAGTATGATGCTCTAAATGTATGTATACATTCAATACTGTATACTCAAGCAACGCGATCAGTCTTTGCTTATGAGCGTCTAGCATTTGCTTATGTGATCATATTCACCTTTAATCGATTCTGAGCCAATCACAAGCGGGCACCAGCACAGTAACTCAGCTAAAGAGTGACTTCGCGTATGCCTGTATATCTATGTAGGAAACAGGCTAGATCGCACCTAAAACGTGTAAGGTACACCTAGCCGCGTTATTTACAGACAGACACGGATAAGCACGGTTCAAAGGTTCGGCAATCAACCTTGCGCACAGTCACTTATAGCTCCCCCCTTTGGGCTCGCAGTGATGTTGACCCATCTCAACTCAGTACAATTTTCAGGTTATACCATGGTTTGTAAACCAGTGTATCGCAACGGTTTCTGAACAATGCTAAGGAAACATTAGCAATCATTGTTTATAGTACCCACTGATCGCTAGCATGTATTGTAATGAATGGCTAGAAATCTGTACAAAAAGCTTTAAACCTTTGGCAATGGATGCAGGTTAGTATAAACGATGGTAAGAACCATAAGGCATGGATAGGTAGTAAGCAAACCAACGAAGAGGATAACGATACTGTGTCGCTCCTCCTGGCTCACACAAGTGTTTTTCTCATTTTTGTTAGACATGATGATGCGAAGTATAATAGGATGACCCGCCACTCACACTTCATTCCGCCATTAGTTGCGAGAGCTCTTCTTTGTTGAGAAACACAGTATTTGCACAGAATTTATGTCTTGTCTCACTTTTATGGGCCGATGGTGGTCACTATAGAGCAAAATGATAAAAATGGCGGAGATTGATAAAGATTAAGTAGCTTCTTTGAGATAGCACCGGACCGAGTATTAAAAGTAAAAGAGAGAGGAGCAGAAAAAGAACAGGAGAAAACACCAATGCAAACATCTGTAGTATACAGTAAGTAAATGGTGACGATGAAGGCAAAGGACGAAGAACTGTAGAGGATTTTGCTCTGCTGATGCTACTACTTCAACCTCTTTTACGCAGTATAGTCAGTTAAATAATGTCGAAATCTTAGGCCTTGTATCGACCAAGTCTACTGGAAGATCTTCGTCATCACCACCGATATATTCATCATTCCCATCCTGCTCATTCTTAAAATCGTCATCATCAACGTCACCACCGTATAGAACACGTACTGCCTCATCATAATATGGTGCAGAAAAGCGATACGTTATACAGGCGTTGATGTAGCTCTGTACCTGTATAGTAGACAATAACTGGCAAGGGGGTTCATTGACGAGTGAGGTATGGTATGTGTTCAATTTATATTATTATAGCCTCAACGCGCGTAGGCAACAATCACTAAGTTAGGTCGGCAAAATGGTCTAGTCTGGAGTAAGCTCCTTTGCGCTTTGCTCCTTTGAGTTCACTTGTGATTTTCGACTAGCCGATTCCTTGCAACCAATTTCTCCGGAAGAATGCCTAAGATGAGCAACTTATGAAAATCAAACTCGTGTAACTTCACACCAACGTATGGATGTCGGCGTTTTCCACGTGTTTACTGGTCACCGGGCGCAGTGTACGCCCGACTAGAAGAGTTACGGTGCCCTTGGTTTAGGAAGTACAATGCTTTAGCAACACTATCTTTCGGGTTGACTAGCTCGTCGTCGACGAGTCTCTCTCTTTCGATGAAAGCAAGTATTGTTCGCCCGGGCCAGCTTGAACTCTTGGCACTCCCAGTCAAACCTCTTCAATTTATGCCTATCGAAGTTTGACGTCAAACACAATCTACCTACGCAGGGACCCACTACCGAAAGTGTACACTTGTCTTGTATATAAACATTGTGCTCTGTATTCAATTACCTCTTTTTATACTTGGGGTAAGTCAGTTGTGTAGCTTTCTTTCATTTTCCTGACCTCGTATACCGATATCCATTGAAAAAGGTCGTTGAGCTATTGGAAGACTTGACGAGTCTTATATTGACGAGTCTTGATTCCACAAGACTTACCCATCAGATTCTTAGCTCGACGAGCCTTAACACAACGAATCCGAGTTCAACGAGTCTTAACTCCATGAGTCTTTACTCAACAAGCCTTAACTCAACGATCATAAACTCGACGATCCTTAACTCAACGATCCTGAACTTAACGAGCCCTAACATGGCTATCTTAACTCGATGAGTCTTAACTCGATGAGTCTAAAATTGACACGCCTTACCCCGACAAG